CCCACTCCGCTCACTCATGCAATGCAATGCATAAAAAGACAGTATAAGTCATTATAATCTGTAATTATGTCCCCACTGGATGCAACAAATGCCTAGTTTATAATGGGTTTTAATGTTTTTGTCTCGTCGCTCCGGCTGGACAGCGCATCACAATATGGTAAGGGGTGTAACATTTCCATCACACGCTTGAGGTATTCGGCCAATCACAACGCACTGGATAGCTGGCCAATCAGAGCACACCTCGCTTTTCAGACCGATGAGCTTTGTAAAAATCGAGGTGTTTCAAAAAGGTGGGGCATAGAGGAGAAACAATAACGTACACCTTAAATCGCATAAACGCATTTCATTACACCAAATACACAAAATAATGTTCTTTTTAGCAACATCATATGACCCCTTTAAAACACGTCCAGGAATGCTGTCTGGCCCTAGAGCCTTAAGTGAGTTAACTCTGAGAAGGGCCTTTTTAACTTCAGGTGTTGACACCTGGGGTGCCTGGTCACTGGGTGATGATGAAAGCATTCGTGCTTGAGTGATGTTATTGGCCTCAAAACATGCATAGAAGTCATTTAGATCATCTGATAAAGAGGAGTCGTTGTGGCATACCTGCAGGGGAGGGGGCTTGTAGTCAGTGATAGTCTTAAATCCCTGCCCCAACCGCTGTGAGTCTCTGTTATTTGCGAAATAGCTTCTTAGTTTTTGTGCATACAGACTTTTCGCCACCTTAATATTGGATATGGGATTGGATAATTGGTTGTTAGAATAATAACATTGTAAGTGGTGGCGCATTTACTTGTGAACAGGTATTGATAGCTGCTGAGGAAGGTGATCGTGTCTTAATTTGCAAGTCAGTGGTTGGTCCCTCAGCCTCCGGCAAACACAAGTTTGTTTTAGTTCTTGATAGTGATGAAGCTCACTGTTTACCAGTGAGACACATGCAGCTTTAAGCCTGTGATTGCTGCAGAACACAGAGGTGTCATTGTGTAATACTTGATTATGATGTCATGCTTATCATACAATATATTTGATGTTATTCAAAGTGATTAAACCTTGTTACATGGTGAAAATGTTATGTGGGCAATATTTTACCTCATTATTGACGATAGGCCTCTCTTTGTATTCCCTCCATTTCTAGACTGTGAGAAGAGTGCGAGTGAGCTGGCAGAGGAGCAGAGCCTGCTGGTGGAGATCATGAAGGTGGTGGAGAACAGAGACAAACTGGTGAGTCTGCTGGAGGAGCAACGGCTGAAGGAGAAAGCGGAGGACAGCGATCTGGAGAGCATGATCCTCTCCAGAGGCTATCAGTTCCACTGGACCTGAACTTCTCGCACTGGATGAAGATCTGCTGTACTGACCTGCATGAAGAACTACTTTAGACTGAGAAAGCCTTATTTGAAGATCAGCTTCTGGATCTTGAACACACTGTAACACGCTTGTTTAATCAAACCCAACTGAATGCTGCCTTGTGTTCTTGAAAAGAAATAAACCAAAAACCAAACACGTGCCTCTTTATTGACTGAAAATAATGTATGTTTCAAAAAGGTGAGAGGACTGACTACAAATGTTATTCACTCTGGTGCAATGGTATTTAGTTAAAGCTATTTTTCTTGGACTTGTTTAATTTATCTTCCTGTTTTGTTGAAACTCTTAATGAATGTTTGTTCCGTTCATCAGTAAATATTCCAATAGAGGCCAAAGTTTAATGGCAGTGATAAAGTGTGTCTGTTGAGTTTTTGTTTGTCTTTTAGTCTCGCAATGAACAGGATATCTTAAGTGACCTAAAATTGCAGCTATTTCTAAAGTAAAACCAAATATCATTGTTTCAAGAATCAAGAAGTGCTTAAGAAAATGTCCAAATGGCTCTGGTTTTATTTTTGTCTGTCTGTTGCCTTGTGTCATTTATTTAATAAATTTAAAAACAATGAGTTGACTCCCCTAAATATCTTCAAAAAAAGATTAAATGTGAATTTGAATGTTTAATTTCTGTAAATGTACATTATACTAAGACTGAAAATAATTAGGAATACTGTTAAGTTTTATATTTTCTAAAAGTTTATGTATATTAAAATATAATAAGAATATTGTATGTTATATTATAAAAATATAAAATATTGCTTATTTTTTATTTGCATATTAATTTTAAAATGTAGGCTCTATAAATTTACAAGCATAAGTATAAATATGAAAATATATTAAGAATAATTTTAAATGTTAACATTTGAAAAATATAAAAGTATTACATTAATATATTTAGTATTAAAAAGCTCGTTTAAGCAAATCGTGTAAAGTCGGTCATTTTTTATTTTATTTTTATTTTTTGTATGCATTGTTTTACATTCGGCGCATCATAACTCAAGGCAGTAATAATAAAATTGGACTCATATTATAATGAGTAACATATGATATTGGCAACTCACTACGATGAACTTTCTGAACAGTCTCCCTTAGGAAAAGAGGGTGGGATCAAAGGATAAGGGAAGCTAGTTTTAGAAGGCTGGGCAAATAGCTGGAATTCCGTTTCCGTTCCTGGGATTTGACTAACTCCCTCAGCGGGGGAAATCACTTATTATTGACACTTTTCTGTCCATGGTGGTTTGTTTGAACCGATGGCGTCTTCCCCGCAGAAATCTCCGTCCTCTCCAAAGTCGCCAACTCCAAAGTCTCCGTCCTCCCGAAAGAAAGATGACTCATTTCTGGGGAAACTTGGTGGGACTCTGGCCAGAAGGAAAAAGGCGAAAGAAGGTAGCGATTGAGTTTAATATTTCGCGTTCTGAACATTAAACAAACGAACTAGTCATGACAGTTTTGCTGTGAAGTCCTCAAGTTACTACACAACTTATTCAGAAGTCTGAAGAATTCCCTCCTCTAACTATTGTACGGGCGCAAGAATAGTTTTTTAACACGGTCAGCATTTCTTATGTACACTTTAAAATTCGAAAAAGAAATGACAACGGGGTGTTTTTAAAGTGGCGAAAAATGTGATGTTTACATTCCAAAGTTTGCGCCGCTTTCATCAAGCGATGTTCGATTCGCGGACGAATTGTTCTTTTGAGTCGGATCTTTTTAATGAATCAATTTACAAAAGCGCTCTGAGCGATTCGTTTACGAATCAAACTGAATCAGTCCTTGCGTTTCTCCAATTCAGTTGAATCGATTCATTGAATCGAGAACCGTCTCTTTTAAAGGGTTCGTTCACCCAAAAATGAAACTTCTGTCATTAATTACTCACCCTCATTGCGTTTCAAACCCTGTAAGACCTTCGTTCATCTTCGAACACAAATTAAGATATTTTTGATGGAATCTGAGAGCTGTCTGACCCTGCATAGACCGCAACGCAACTGAAATGTTCCCAAGTCCAGAAACGTAGTAAAGAGATCTGTAAAATAATCCATGTGACCTCAGTGGTTCATCCGCAATTATACGACACAACGAGAATACTTTTTGTGCGCAAAAGGAAAAAAATAACGACTTTATTCAACAATTCATCTCCTCCGCATTACCCTGGTGACATTTTGGAGAATATCCGCTGGATGTAAATGGCGTATGTTGTTCTGTGTCAACTGCGTCACGCCGGATCGGTTTCCTACGTTGTTGTGATGTGATCTGAACGGAAACAGTGTATCCGTGTGACGCAGCTGACACAGAACAGCATACCTCCAAAATGGCACCAGGGTGATACAGAGGAGACGAATTGTTGAATAAAGTCGTTATTTTTTTCCTTTCGCGCGCAAAAAGTATTCTCATAGCTTCGTATAATTGCGGATGAACCACTGATGTCACATGGATTATTTTACAGATCTCCTTGCTACGTTTCTGGACTTGGGAACATTTCAGTTGCGTTGCAGTCTGTGCAAGGTCAGACAGCTCTCAGATTCCATCAAAAATATCTTAATTTGTGTTCCGAAGAAGAACGAAGGTCTTACGGGTTTGAAATTAATGACAGAATTTTCATTTTTTTGGGTGAACTAACCCTTTAAACATGTCCAGCTCATAGTGCTTAGAGAAGCGAAGAGTTAACTGATTTGACAAATAGGGCGGAAATACAATTACAAAAGGGAAGTAGTAAAAATGTTAGAAATAAAACATACAGGAAATATATCGCAATGGTTATGTTATTGTAACTTAACCTCATTAAAGGGATAGTTGACCCTAAATTCAAATTCTCTCATTTACTCACCCTCAAATTGTTCCAAACCTGTAAGAGTTTCTTCTGTTGAGCACAAAAGAAGATATTTTGAAGAATGTTAGTAACCAAACAGCTGACGGTAGTTAACTATTGACCAGCACTTTTAAACTTTAAAAAAATATATATTTTTTTATTACCAGCAGTGTTGAAATTGACTGTGCTCAATGACGCACTGACGTCAAAACCGCATCACAACTATGAATAGCAGTTCGGTTAAGACTTTACCTTTAAGAGATTTTTTTTGTACTCCATTTTGGCAAGTAGCACTTTAAAGTATGCACCCTGGAGGCAAGATTATACAAATATTTCAAAGTATTCAACCACACCTGAAATTGTCCGAGTCATCAAATCATTCTGACAAAAACCTCTAGACTACAGTCTTGAGAAACACTAATCAAAAGAAGATATTTTGAAGAATGTTAGTAACCAAACAGCTGACGGTAGTTAACTATTGACCAGCACTTTTAAACTTTAAAAAAATATTTTTTTTTTATTACCAGCAGTGTTGAAATTGACTGTGCTCAATGACGCACTGACGTCAAAACCGCATCACAACTATGAATAGCAGTTCGGTTAAGACTTTACCTTTTAAGAGATTTTTTTTGTACTCCATTTTGGCAAGTAGCACTTTAAAGTATGCACCCTGGAGGCAAGATTATACAAATATTTCAAAGTATTCAACCACACCTGAAATTGTCCGAGTCATCAAATCATTCTGACAAAAACCTCTAGACTACAGTCTTGAGAAACACTAATCAGCCATTTATAGACCTGAAATCACAGGTTGGCACATTATAAAGTGCTCTTAAGAGCTGTCTTCATCTGACTACTGTTGTAAAATGTTGAGAGATTCAAACAAAAAGTAATCAATAAATAGAACAAAATAAAAATAAAAAAGACTGCAAGTGACGTCGCTAGCGGAAGCGCAAGTGTCTGAGAGTGCAAGTCTGCAGCCAGACCCTTCTCCCCAGTTTGGCAGTATTCTTCTAGCCATGTAAGGTATTCTGTCTGGACGAGGCTTGAGAACGGAGTCACCTCAGCTTTGAAACAAGAACAGCTGCAGCGCTAGATTACAGAACCCAATAATAATCCTGACAAGCTATAGTGATCCACATCCTTAACAAATAAAAATATATTAGTCTTCTTGTCCTCTTATCCAGTAAGTAAATTAGTCTGTGTGCCATTACATTAGAGTAGTTCTTCTGGGTTTGCACGATTCCCAGAGTGCACTTCTGTAATGCTTGCGCAGCATCCATCAGCCCTCGCAAGACTGAATTAGAGGAAAAAGCAGCTGAGCCTTCTGATACTCTGACTGTCTATTTCTCTGTCTCTTATTCACCCGCACACAAGATGAGAAGTCTGGATGGGTAATTGATGTATGATTTGATGAGGACTATTTTGTGGCTTGTACCCAGGAGGCAGTGCATTTTATGTTTATTGCTTTCGTTCCACATTTGGAAATATAAATTAAAAGGGTGCATGATGACTTCCACTACTTAAAGCGTTGAAAGAAAAGAAATTATTATTTAGTCACCTTCATGTCATTCCAAACCCATATACAGTTTTTTTCCCCTGTGATTTTAAATGCAGCTCTTTCCATATACAATAATGTCAGTTAAAGCTTCAAAATGCACCATGAAAGCAAGATCTTCTGGTGGAGTTCTTGCTAACTGGACAATTTCTGAAGAAATTGTGCTTGAATTGTGAAACATCTGCCCAGTCACACGTTAACCTTAATGCTCACCGTAGTACAAGATACATGGCGTCTTTGTCGTGCCGTTGGATTTTATGTGACCCCCACATCAGTGAGAAGAAGCAGCGGGAGAGCAGCTGTGCGTGAGGTCGAGAGGGTGTTGATTAATATGATATCGTCCTCCATGGGAGGCCTCTGGAATCCAGCACAGGATGTTCGCATCCCCATAATCAGCGCTGTTGACGGTGATGCATGCTGGGTTGCAGTGGGAGCGAGGAGCTGGGTTGTTTCTCTGAGGATGCTGAAAATGTTGATGCCCTGAAGTTCTAATAAAAGCCTAATAAATATATGCATTTTTACATTTTCTTCTGAAAATGTGAACTGTGATGCCAGGGTGTTGCTATGCAGTTGCTAAGGTGTTTTTGTGGTGGTTGCTTGTACTGGGCCAAGCGAAAAAATTAAAACCATCCTGATGACTCTGAGACTATTGTGGCTAAATATTGTTCATAGCACAAACAATAATATTTAATTACTTTGTTTAATTTAATATTTAACATTTATAAATACAAATGTAATATATTGAATTTTTAACATAATTGTATTTATTCATTTATTAATT